TCCTCTAGTGCGGGTGGGCTGGTGAAGAGGGCGATCTCCCAAGTTTTCATCTGAGACCGGGAAGTCTGGTGCTTCTGATATCAAAATTCAGGGGTTTATTTTATTATTATGTTATTTATTTATTTATTTTCTAAAGTGGGGATAAAACCAGCTGAGAACGAGGCAGTCGATAGTTATCAACATCCGTAGCACATCAGCTAATGCTGATATTTGACTTGTGAGGGACTAAGGAGAAAGCAAAGCTCACAGGGAGCTGTCTGGTTTTTTAATGCGTTGGAGAGGTCAGCGAGAACGTAAGGCGTAAGATCAGAGAGCGACAGCCCATATATCGTGCTTAAATGAACCCTGGGTGGCTTGGGAGGCAGAATACCAGGGGCAGGTGATACGGTGGGTGGTGCAGGAGCTCTGAAGGGTGGGTGGGACTGCTGTAAGCTCCCTTTGCTGCTCGGGGCTCGGTAATTGCGGTTCTGCCTGTGCTGGCTCCCGTACTAAACGTGTGGCTTTTTTCCTTTAGGCAAAATGCCTCGCGTCCGGATCAAAAATTCGCAAAGGTAGGCCCAGACGTTGTGCTCCTCTTATTTTTAAACTTGGACGTGGAGCTGCTTGAGGAAGCCTTGTTTAGAATTTGAAAATCCAGCCTGAAAGTTCAGCAATGCACCAACCATTAAAGCGGTTTCCCTTGAGTGGGTTTTGGAGCTCCCTGCCCAAATCTGGCCTGAAATCACGCCTTTGATGTGGGGCAGCGTTTTTTAAAGTCTCGTCGACCCTTTCCTGAAGCACCCAAGAGCTATTTGACGGCGCGTTGAATCCGCTGGCTCAAACCAAGTTTTGAAGAATAATGCTCATCCTACAGAGGAGAGCGTGTTCCTCACAGCCCACTCACTTCTGTTAGGCTGAAATGTACTGCTGAGACACCGATCTAGGGATAACGCTTCCAAAGGAGGAGGGAGAGGGGGGGAAAATATAACAAAAAAAACCCCAAACCCAACAGGTTCTCATCTGCAATTAGACAAGAGCCAATTGTGGTGCTGAGATTGGCACCGGTGACGCACGTTCATTTGTGACTTCGCTCGTCAGAGAGCGAGCGCTCGGTAACATCTCGGAGCGGGCTCCAACCTGGATTCCGCGTGTGACACGTGGAAGATTATTTTCCAGTTTGGCGGCGGTGGAGGGGGGAAGGGAAGGTGGTGGGGAAAAAAAAAAAAATCTGTCGGGTAAGGCAGATCGTCTGCTGCAAGCTCCGAGCTCTTCGTGGTGGCACACTGTGAACCCTGCCTGGGGACTCGCGGTGACAGCTGAACCGTTTTGTCACCGCTCTGCCCTGGGAGCTCAGGGCCCGCGCGCCGGTCTGTTTTATCTAGGGCCCTAAACAGAAGTGCTGAGCATGTGGAGAAAGAAAGAAAGGATCCTGGATTTAAATAGCTGCCTTCGTGACGTAACGGCGCTCGGGATGAGGGTCGAGGAGCTTGCTGGGGAGGCCGGTGGACTCGGTCTTTCTGGAGAATGAGGTTAAAGTTTCTTTGGAGGGAAATATAGCACCGAGTGCCAGGATCACGAGAAAACAAAATGCCTCGCCCTCCGGAGGCAGTGAGGGGTTTGGTTGCAGGGTCAGGCAGGCGCCCTGTGGGAATGTCTTGGCGCTTCTTAACCGGATCCGTGCTCGGGTTTCCAGGCTGAGCGTAACGTTATCGCTCATGAGTTGAACGTACCTGCGAGGCAGGAGGACCCGGCAGCCTTTCTCCCGGCCGGGCTCTGAAAACTTTTTTCCCTGAATGCACTGCTGAGGCTTTCTTCTGCTCCCCTAATGCACCCGCTGCCTCGGTAGGAAGCAGAGCTGCTCTTTGCCCTCCGCAGGGACCAAGCCAAGGCCGGACGTTGCTCTTTAGGAGCGTTCTCGTGCCAGGCTTGGCTCTGCAGCATCTTGGTTCGTCTCCAGCAGCTCTTACTGCTTTGCCTTCACCATCCTGGCCTGAGCCAGGGAAAGGGAGAAAAAGGAGCCGGAAGAGTCGATGCTGCAATTTATTCCTTGAAAACTCATCTCCTGTGCTGCACTGAGTGATGGTTTTTTAGGGTCAGGATCAGAACTGGAGGCTTGGGGGTTGGGCTTATGAAACTGAATAGACTTTGAAGATGCCCGAGGCTTGGCTGGATGTTCTTTCAAAGGCAGGAATGGCTCTTGGTTGGGGTGCCGCTCGGGTTTGGTCACCCTGCTGAGCACTCTGGAGACAGGGGTCGTTGTGGGGTACCCAGAAAGCTGTTTCGGCCGCGCTGAGCTGTCAGAAGCACCGGTGAGCTTGGGTGTGTCGCCCAGTCCTGTTGGGGAATGAGTGACTAAGCGGGGAGTTTGACCAGGTAACTGCTAACCAGCTTTCTTTCTAGCAGGCAGATTGAAGCCCCCCTTTCTGAAGGTTGAAGACCAGAGCAGGTAAATGACACCTTTCTAAATATCACACCTTAAAACCTCAGGGAGGGAATCCTTTTCCAGTTTTCTCTGTGGCACCTGTCCTGTCCCCAAGCAGAAGACCCTGTTACCCACGGGGATGTTGACCCTCTGCAAGAGGGAGGCAGATGGAGCGTAGGAAAACAATCCAGGTGGCTCGTGTGTCATGGAGGGGGGAAAAAGGTGTTAAACGAGACCTGACGACAGAGTTTAGTTCCTCGCTCGGATTCGGTTCGTGATCCTCGGAGGGTCACTTAATCTGCTCGAGCCCTCTGAAACGAGGAAAGAGATTGAAACGCAGGAGGTCAGGGCCTGTAACTTGATTACAGCATCCAGCGCAAGGGGATCTGATCTCTGGCGTTTCTAACAACTCTGTAACTCTAACGGCAGCCAGAGCGCTAATTAATTAATCCAAAGACAGCGTTCAAGGCAGCTGCAGAGTCAAATGTTAGGTTTTACATGCTGCATGCAATAAAGTGTGAAGAGAGAGATGTCTGAGAACCCAAGCCTTCCCCTGCTGCTGTGTAGCTGGAAATACTGCACTGGCTGCTGCAGCTGTGCCTTGGGCGGCAAAAGGTGGGGGTTTTGTGAGCAGGAGAGTCTGCCTTCCACCCAAACCAGCCCCCCACCAGTGCTGTTACTGGGAATCGAGTTTAGTACTTCCAGTCAGAAATGGAATGTCTCTGGAACAGCCAAGTGAAAGGGCAGCAGTGGCCGGTATCGCATCGTGGGGCAGCTCTCGAACCCCGCTGTCCCTGCCTGAACTCTGATGCCCTGCTCTGCTGCTTGCAGGCAGTTCCGACCCTTCCATCACCAGTTCAAAAGTTTTCCCGACCTGAATTTCCAGACGCCCAAAAGCTCCAGCCCCTTTGAGCCGCTGAAAAGCCTCTTGAATTCTTGCAGAGCCAGGTAGGTCGGAGCTCTTCCCACACAAGTTTTTAACCCGACTCCTCTTGCGAAGCGCCACCGGGGTCTGGGGTCTAGAGGATTGCTCGTGGCAGGGAAAGGAGCCCTGCTCTGGGTCAAACCACCGGGGTTTGTAAGAGACAGACCTGCCTCCCTGCCCTTACACGCCGTCGAGTGAGGGCGGGGAAGATCTTTGCCGTTGCCTTGCAGGGGTGCGGAGGACTGCCCGGTGCGCAGCGACCGGGAGAAGAGCCCCCCATCCACCCTGGTCACCGTGCGGAAGAAAAAGAGGGGCTTTTGCGAGTGCTGCCAAGAGACCTTCGAAGAGCTGCAGAAGGTAAAGGCTCCCTTGAGAGCTGGTTCTTTGCAAAAGGGGCCGTTCGGTAGCTCAGTTATCGCCGGGTGCCCAGTATCGGTGTGGGCCCTTCGGGAAAGGGGGCGGCTCGCTGTGCGTGCAGCCTTTGGCCTGTCTCATAGGATCAGCCTCGTAGAGGAAAAACCACAGCACGTCTGCGCTCTGACCTCCTGGTCTGTGCACGCAATTGTTTTGAAGGTTGGTGCACATCGTGCTCGTTTGTGGGGCTTGGGAGAGCCTCGGGGATCACCCCGTTGCCTGTTCCGTGGCAGCTGGGGTCACAGGCCTGGTGAAGAAGGTGGGGAGAGGTGTTTTTACCTTCTGGAAGGTGCCAAACTGGCTTTCAGAGCCCAGCCTGTAGTGACAGACAGGAGGTATCTGGAGTCTGCGTTTTCACTGGCCATTGGCGGAAGCTGTAGGCGGCCGTTCTTTACAGACCCAACCTCCCCCTCACGCGGG